ACTGAAGGAGTAATCACTGCTCAAGCCACTGTGGCCATAGAAGGCTTAGCCTACACATTAATACAAGCAATGAGGCTGGCTGCTCATACAGCTGTAAGGTTACTGTTAAATACTTCTAATTGCACTAAGGAACTTAAGTTTGACAACAGAGAAAAAAGGCCTAATGAACTGTTATGAGACAATAATCTCAAAATCATTAAGTTTACAGATCTGCCCCATAGTTAATTTGGATCCTTCTGCAACTACTACTTTCAGATTACTTCAAAAAAACAAACCTGCCCACATCCCAACAAATCAACCCATGCCAACCACCTATTAACAAGCAGAGCTCCTGAAGCCAGTTTCTTCTTGTGAAATCGCAATGTGGATTAACAAAGAGAGCAGAGGCAAAACTGGCACAAGAAACACTCAGCATCTTGTAAGACTGGACCCTTAGTCTATGGCTGCTTTTGTGCAACCAGACCTTTAAAATTACCTTGCAATTTTTATAACTTCTAATTGGTCATTTTAGGATTACATGCCAAGAAATTGCCACACAGAAGGCCTTCACCTTTGCAGGATATATAGCTGTGATTACAGCTAATCAATAATTCAACTACTTTTTGGAGGGACTACTTTTTTTTAGATAGATTTGGTGCACCACAGCACCTACATATCAAGCATGAAGTCAGACATGTTACAGTACATTGAATACAGGCTCAACAAATTTGAGCTGCATTTTTCTGTAGCTGACCTTGAAAATTCAAAGTTTTTGTAACTCTCAAAGAAAAATGGTCAGCAAAATTCAAAGTTTGTTTGTAGGGGGTTCAAGTTCAAAGAAACTAGGAGCTCAGTGCCAGAGGAAGAGGAAAATATGCTGGACATGAGTATGTTCAATATAACTGCCAGTACTTATACAAAATCACAGTAACTATGAACATGTCTATTAAGTTGTGAAACTCAGCTTAGGAAAAAAATAGTTCTGGATTTTTTTAACTCAAGACTCATGTTTTAAGATATCAGTTATGCTGACTGCAGAAATTAATCTATTAAACAATGACCATGTGAGTTTCAGAGATACCTCCAGGGCTTTATCCCTTATGATTAGGATCAAAAACAGCCTCACAAAAAAACTAGTAACAAAACCAACAAAGCTTTTTTTCTGGCTGTCTTAAATCCTAAGGATCTTTTCTGTCATCAGCCATTTAAATTAAACACAACAAAACTTCCATATTCTTTTTTGTTTTCTTGAAACCATTTTATTAAAGCCTTAATCAAGTAGGCTACCTCAAATTTGTTTATTTCAAAATAAAAAGTGTTCTTACAGTTCTAACAAAATAACTACTGTACAGCAACTTTTCACCACTTTGTTCACAGATTCTTAATCCAGGATAAAATGGGAGGTGATCTACATTAGTTCAGCTCCCAAAGTTTAAGTGCATTTTTATAAACCACCTAAAACCCCCATAATCCATTGGAGATATTCTTATAATTAATACATTTATAGCTGCCAAATTGCTAAAAAAGCAAAGAACAAGGTTTCAGATGGAATAAGACTTAAAATAGCAGTTTACAGGCACTAAGAAAACTGCACTGTAATAGAAATACATATCCCAGCTATGCCTGTGAAAAGCTTACATAAGAACCATTTTGCCTTCACTGAAAATCAGGTAGGAAGAGAGAAACCTTCCATCTGTACAGATTAACTGCAGTGTGCCAGTAGTATCACTTACACACCAAAGCTGCTCTGTTATCTACTGTGTTAAACAATGGTATTATAAAGCCAAAGAGAAAGAAAGTCTTTAATTCCTAAACAGTAGACAAATAAGCCACACAGGAAAATGGCACCTCTTAGTTTTTGCTGTGTTTTTCCATCTTGACTCTACTTGGAATAACTTCTTTCCAAAAGCGTATGTTGGATCTTGTTTAATGCACAAGAATGAGTTGGAATCCAGAGTTTGTGAGATCATATGTCAAGCAAAGGTTCATATTATCAAAGATTAAAATATTTTTGTATGTAAGTAAAGATACTTTTTTTTATTTACGAAAGAAGAGTTCAAGATTGACTAATCAAGACAACACCTCACTTTTAAATAAAATGTTGCATTTACCTGTCTTTAATGCTGGTCAGGTGTCCTCTCCAGTTCCCTCCTGGGATACTAATATATACAGAAGAAAAGATAAATAAAACCATTAGGTTCTTATTTAACAATACCTGAATTACAGATATAGAATAATTATATTTTGCTCAACATTCAGAAATAAATCAATCATCTACCCTGCAAAGAAATTGTTATACAAAGATTCACATATAATTTAGCAACGCCTAGAAATATTATATGAAGAACCAGCATTTAACAACATGCAAAGAAGTAACACCACCACAGCTTCCCCAGTTCGTTGCCCCCAAATTTTAAGAACCATGCAAGTAATTAGGGTGCACTGACAATTTTTAAGTTGCCCTACACTTTCATAAAGCACCTCATAAATCAGATGGGAAAGCAGGAATCACAATTTCTATTCAGGTGTCAACCTGAGAGATTAAGAAAGATATGCTCATAGCAAAAATACTGCATTGAGACTCTTTGACTCTATATCATTGTCATTACCACCACCACTATCACAGTTGCCATTGTGCTGACATTCTCTCTTGCCCAGGAGATCCAAAACAGAGGAGGTTACAGGACAGTAATACACCAACAGGCACCTGCAGACACCTCTCCCTTTGCCACTGTTTATTATGATAGGCTGCACAATCACACCTGCCATGGGCTTTGGAGGAACAGTCCTGCTTCTGCCCTCCCTTCCCGTTTCTCATGCTGACACATAGTGGTTCTTCAGTTTTCTTACAAAGCCAACAGGAAACAGAAAATACTGTGATTCTTTGTTGCGCACTCAGATCTCTGTACTGGATCTGATTTGACCCACTACTACAAGTCAGTGCTGATCTGCTCTTCAAAAATACCACTGATCATACCTAACACCTATTCAGCTGCACTCAGAGCTCATTTCTCCTCTTACTGTACCATCCATTTCCTTCGTTAGCAAAACTTACCTCCCAATCTGTATCATTTTTCAAGACAAAGTGCTAGAAGTTATCAGATTCTATTTCATTTCAGGAATTCCATGTAAACTGCCATTTTATTTTCAACCACCAATATACAAGTTCAACACTAGTGACTGGAACAGACAGGCAAACCTGAGCATTTTGTACAGGTTCATGGATATAAAGCCAGATGGGATAACTGATCACCTAGTTTCATCCCTCTGTTACGGACTTTGTTTCTTCTCCCTGTTTGAAATGCTGCTTCCTTTAGGGGAGCACCCAACACTGATCTTGCAGCACTATACTCAGGCAATACATAGCTCTTCACTGCCTCCATATTCTCCCTGCCAAGGACTTTTTATGGCGTTGTTTCCTGCACATGCAGCACACACCTACAGGTAAGTCCTTCTCTACTCACAAGGAAAACAGCACCCTGCAACTGATGTTCACCCACCAAAGCAGCTCATCTCGACTAAGTCTATTCTGCCTGCTCCCCAGCTGTTCCCAGGAAAGAAAATAACTAGGGAACAGCATTATAAACCATTCCAATAATGGCAGTGCATTCCCACTGCCATACTTACCATCCAGGAAGACAAACTTGGAAAATGGCTCTGTTGCTCACATAAACCAAACCAACAGTTTAAAATAAAAATCACAGATGGGCTCACATACAACCTCATGACGAATATGCAATGGGCTGAGGTAAACCTCACTGTGCATGCACAGCATAACCACTTGTAATTTGCTGAGTCTGACCATGACTACTCATGAAACAAATTGTGGCCTGCTAAATACTCTGTTAAAACAGGCTCATATTAAGATTACTCATCTCCTAATACTTTGTACAAAGTTCACATTTAATCCTCACTTAACCTAAATTAAATTTGCTGCCTCTTTCCTTAAAAGAAAGAAACTATCAAATAACTTGCTACTTCTACACTCTAACAGATTATAGGGAAAACCCTCAGATGCCTGTCAATATTCCTTATGTACCACCCCAGAAAGAGACAAAGTCAGCTACTTAGGACAGCCATAATCCACCATGATTTCCTACTTTCTGTACCAAGGAGTAATATATAACAGGTAAAAGAAAAGGTGAAATTGGTAAAAATTTTACACTTTCACACTAATTTGGGAGCAAAAATAAAACGCATCTTTTCATGGCAACATGTGTCTTGTGGAGAAGCAACAACCAAAATGAGATGTTGAGGGATCTTAAGAGTTGATGTGTAGAATAATCTGAAACCCATCCTCATGAACTGCACCTTGCTACTGAAGCATTATTTACCTTTCAAACCACAGTTTTATGCTTTGCATAAATGTTTTGTGAGGGTATATTTGGTTCTCTCTCAAATATAAGAGGATACCAAACAGCTCTTTTTGTAACTCAGCACCTTTCATACCCCTGCTGATCTCAAAAAAGAACTGCAGGACATCCAAGGTTGGGACCAAATCATTGGCCAACATTTCATGGTACAGTTCAAAGGCAAGGTTCATTTCCTGGTGCCGGCAGGCTGCTTTGATACAGGACTCATAATTTGTCCGTGAGGGAATCATAATCTTCTTTACTTCTTCCAAGAGAGTCAAGGCCATTCTCCACTGATCTGAATTACTCATCCCCCTGATAAGAAGGTTATAGGCCCCACTTTCTAAGACCTTAAACCTGACTTTCATTATGTCATACACATCATGAATTTCTGAGGTCTGTCCCTGCTGGACACACAGTGTCAGGTATTTGACCAACACACCATATGCAATGTCACCGTTGCGCTGTGCCATGTGGGTCAGCAGGGACTTGGCCACATCAATGGGGCTGTTGCACCTGATCATACTGTTCAACATCATCTCTTCGAATATTTCAGGTGATTGGAAGTCCTCTCTTAGTCTGTTCCATTCCTCAGCCTGCAAAGGTTTCTCTGGAGGTTGTATGTTGGTATAGTGATGCCTTGACACAACTCGACTCACTGACCACTTCTTTGCAGCTCCAACAGTGGAAGAAGAGTGGAGATTCCCTTCAGGTATTTCTTTAGTCTCCTCACCCCATCCTTTTTCTCCTTCACTGTGACTTTCAGGCCTTTTCTTGGCAGGTAAGACATTATTTTCTTTGGTGTCCACTGGTAATGCAGTGCTGGAAGATGTCATAAAACTGAAATACTTGATTTTTTCCCTGTCGGGGATGTTGCAAGAGACAGCAAACAGTTGTTGGCATCTTGAAACAGGCCAGAACACACGACATTTCCATAGCAAAGCCTGAAAACCCTGCTGACCAGGCTGTGAAAAGAGTGCCATCACAAGAAGGAACTGTCACTATTAGCTCACTGTATCCAATGGAGTTATAAAATGAAAAATACAGCTTGTATGGGGATGTTTATTTTAAAAAGTCCAAGGGCTGTCAAACGGTATAAACTTCAGTTTCAAAACACTTGTTCCTTTTTTACTTTTATGGAAAGAAAAAATGGTAAAGTCTTTTTTCACAAAAACTAATCTCTCAGACTGTGAGAACATTCACCCAAAATGAGTGAGTCTTTCTTTCCGGAGAAGATGCTTTGCAGACTTGCATCTTACAGTCGCTGTTCATTGGGAACAATACCGATGAGCACTGTGTGTGTTGCAGCAGAAAGGCAACTCTGAGGCAGCTACGCACAAAGCGCGGGGGGTTTGTCTTCCTGCCTTCAGCCCACTAGGCCAGACCGCCTGGAAATAGAAGATAACACCATGACAGCACGACCTGCTCTGTGCTTTCCTGTCACTTTACATTTGCATGCTTGCAAACACGAAGCTCAAGGCACCTCGATGATTTCAGGCGAGGAATCCCAACCCGACCCAGGCGGCCCCAGCACGGGATTCCCACGCTGGTTCCCTCCTATTTTTCAACCCGGGACAAACTTCCGTTTAACCGGTTTCCCCAGCCCCGAATCACTGGTAACGCCGCGGGCAGCACTTACACCGCAGCCGCACGGACGTGCTCGGTCACACGGGAGGCACCGCGGCCGGTGCGGCTCACCGGG